CAGCAGCCCATCCCCTGTGCCGTCAGGGGCCAGGAGGCCCATGGGTTGGGGACTGCTCCTGCTGGACTGGAGCGGTTCCCCGCCTAGAATCCCGCTAAGTCAGTTAAGCAATGAAACATGAGATTAACCTAACATCTAGCCGGTCAACTGACTGATTGGGATTTTACACCTCTTTGCTACAGTCTCCCTCTTTAAATGTTTTGGTTTCTTGTGCAAGCCTCAGATAAGCCAAGCCAGGTTTTAGTCCTGGCTATACCAAACTCTGGTTTAATTATACTGGAACACCGCTTTCAACAGTACCTTTTCCTCAGAAGATTCTGTTCTATCTACAAGCTGCTATAAAAACCCCAACTTTAATTCTGCAGTTCTTTGTAACAAAACTTCCCAAATGTAAATGTTCCTGGGATTACTTTGAGCAGATAAATGAATATATTCCAATTTAGGCCTTTTAGGAATATTGAGAAAGCCCTCCAAAAAGCTATTCACTTGTCAAATAGTTGAGATTCAAAATATGAAAATAAAAATTATTTATGTGAAGTTGTGTTATTTTCTCCAGATTTCAAAAGACAAGCTCTTCTCTCTATTGGGGAGGGACTATATTTTTTTCATGTGTTATGAACCATTCACTTTTATATTACTGTATAAAGAAAAGTCCAGATACTAATAAATAATATACATTACAAACATAACACATGCAGGCACGTGCATACCCATACATTTATTTCACTCCAGCTAGCAACTAAAAAAACTAAAAGGAAAAAAAAAAACATTAGCTATATTAATTGGTCCATGAAAAACAGGAACAATATCTGCTAGCAGAAGTAATTGACCATTCTCAAAGTTCTGCATGTTCCTGCCTGTATCATTAATTATGTTGGTATATAAACAAGGAGAAAAAAAATATTCTGATCAATGGAGGCTTAGTTTAATTAGAAAAAACACAAAGCCCTTAATGCTTATTAAGAAGAATGTGACAGTATTGGCAGGGAAAGATTATACTTTTCAGTTCCAATGACAAACTGCATATCAACTATTATAACAAATACTAGTTGACATAGGGATTTGAATAAAAACAACAAAAAGATTGGCAGGGTGACAAAAGTGGAGGTTTACAGAATAAATCGCCACACAAATATCAAGAGACCTTTTTAGGAAGATTTCTATGCAAACTATATTTCTGTAATAATGAAAAGCATGTATTTTTCTGCCCAAATCCTGGTTTCTCTTTTATGTTGAAAAAACAAAGTTAAAATGAAAACATAAAAAGAGCCAAATACATGAACAGAGAAAAAGGTGAAGAATTTATGGACATCATTAAGACTCCCTAACTAGTTTTTCCCCATATGATCGTATTCCCTACTCAACCAGCTCTGAGGAAGGATTTGTCCTACCTACACTAGCATTTCAACTGGTTTTAACAGCAGTTGGATCATACTGTCCAAGCTGCACTTCATAGGAATCTATTCTGAAAGCACCCATCTACTCGCATGCCAGTAAGTTCACGCTTCCAGATTGCTTCTATATATTAGTCATATGATAGGAGGATGGGATAATCAAACACTTTATGGACACCTCCTTGCATGTAGTTTTAGGCTTCAAAACTCCCAGTACTTTTGAGACTGAATTATATGGCACTAATAATTGTTTATAAAGTCATCCAATGTGCAACCTAGCTCTCAAGCAGGAGCAGGCGTCTGCCAGTCTAGTGCTCTCTCACCACTCAGAAGTGGCGATCCCCTTGAGGATTTGGAGTGGAACAGCATGGGACAGTACTCACGGTATGTTAAGTTCAAGCCTGCCAGATCACAGAAGAGATGATCAAATACGGCAGAGAAAGTATGATTCAGGAAATATATCAACTATGTAATATAGCATGGAAAGAAAAGAAGGCACCTAAGGAATGGACAAGATCAGTACTAGTGACACTGCACAAGAAAGGAAGCATGTCGGAGTGCAAGAACTACAGAACGACTGCCTTAATGAGTCATCTAGGCAAAGTGATGATGATGATTCTGACGGACAGATTGAGATTGCAGATAGAAGAACATCTAGAGGATGAGCAAGTGGGATTCAGGAAAGATAGAAGTACCATGCAACAGATATTGGCACTGAGATTGATAGCGCAGAAAGCTTGGCAAAAGAACAAGAACATCTACAATTGCTTTGTCAATTTTCAGAAGGCATTTGACAGTATAGATCAGAAAATGACTTGGGTGGTGTTGGAGTCGCAGAGAGTGCATACAGCTGTTGAAGGATATCAATGATAATACAGAGGCAGCAGTGAGAACATGCAGAGAGTTGGGAAGTTGGTGTACAACGAGTAGAGGTATGAGACAAGGAGAGCCAATATCTTCATCACACACCTAGAGAGAGCGATGGACAAGATGAAGGAAGAGATAGAAGGAATATCAGTGCTCGGGATGAGCATTAACAACTTGAGGTTTGCGGATGATATAGTTATCATCGAGGAAGATGAAGAGAAGTTAGCAAGAATGGTGCAGGTGCTAAATGAGAAAGGGAAGCAGTATGGACTGAGTATGAATATCGATAACATGAAGACAATGGTTTTTGCAGATAAGGAAATAGGAAGGAAGATCAGTGTCGATGGGATAGAACTAGAGAACGTAGAGAAGTTCACATATTTGGGGAGCAACATGACATATGATCTAGACTATAAGAAGGAAATAGCAACTAGAATAGTGAAAGCAAGAGCGAGTTTGAAGGCGATGGATAAGATCTGGAAGAGAAAAGCGATTAAGCTTAGGAACGAAGCTGAGCGTCTTGAAAACATGTGTATTTAGCAGCATGTTGTACGGATGTGAGACATGGGTGATAACGAAAGATTCGAAAAGAAGGATACTGGCGTTCGAGAGGAGTTGTTACAGAAAAATCCTGAGAATAGGATGGATGCAGAAGCAATTATATAGGAAGATACAGCCAAAAGAGAACCTACTGCAGAAGGTTATACAACAGAAGTTACAGCTATTTGGGCATATCTGCAGAATGAACGACAAGCGAAAAGTTAAGACCCTGGTATTCGGCACAATGGATGGCCCGAATATGAAAGGCAAACCCCACAGAGAATGGGTATATGATACAGTAGATTGCTGCAGAGCTAGTCTTCAGAAACTAAGCCACTCCGCACTAGACAGGGAAAGATGGAAGAAAATAATGAGGGAGGCATCGGACACCAACGGGCGTTGAGCCCATAGTTGATGATGATGATGATGATGATGGAGTGAAGCTCTGTTCCTGTTTGGTTAAGGAGCCTCAGGCTGACAGGTACAGGCTTGCGTAGCATTCCTCTATGCTGAGTCAGGCAGCGCATAAGGCCATCCTGTCACTGCACACCCTGATCTCCACAACCAGCCAGCCAGCCAAGCAACCCTTTTCTGTGGAGCTTATTAGCTGGTGGTGGGACAAAATAAATGTAATACAGCCATTTATGCTACCCAAAATCGGTATTTAAGTTTGTCAATTACTTAGGATAGGAATTACCTGTTTGTTTGGTGTCTGCGTAGTGCAAGGTTTGGCAAAATATGGCCCGCAGGCTGCATTGGGCCCACCAACTCACTGGACCCAGACTGCAGATGCAGTGGGGAGCCTCAGGCAACCTCCTTGCCTGCGCTCTCCCCCACCCCCCACATGCTGCTCAGAAAAGCGGCTGCTGGGCTGTTTGTCTTTCAACAGCTGCAAGTCTGGGGACGCAGGGGAAAGGCTTCATGAGCTGCTCCTGCCCCCAGCACAATCCCATTGGCTAGTTTCTGGTCAATGGGAGCTGTCTGAAGCACAGACAGCACGTGAAGCACCACTCCCCTCTCCCCGACCTCCCCAAGCATGCAGCTATTCACACACATAGGATATGGCTACACTGCATTCCTCTTTTGAGAGAGGAATGCAAATGCAGCTGAGCAAAATTGCAAATGAGGGGCAGATTTGAATTTCCCATGCTTCATTTGCATAATCTCATCCAGGTGCTATTTTGAAAAAAGAAACGCTGTATAGACGGTTATTTCAAAAGAAAACCCTTCTTTGAGGTTTAAGGGTAATTTCAAAAGAATGGTTTTCTTTTGAAATAACCGCATCTAGACAGAATTTCTTTTTTCAAAATAGGGTATTTTGAAATAGCTCCTGTTTGCAATTATGCAAATGAAGCATGGGAAATTCAAATCCACACTTCATTTGCAATTTTGCTCGGCTGCATTTGCATTCCTCTCTCGAAAGAGGAATGCAGTGTACACATACCCACCTACACACACACACACACACACACACCCACGGCCCTTGTAGCCTGTTCAGGGGCAGGACAGGTAGAAAGCCTGCCTGAGAAATGTACTCTATGGCACCCCAGCCCCTCCTGTCCTTCCCAACCCTCTGCTCCTCCCCCACAACACAAAACATGCTGCCTCTGGACCCCAGTCCTCTGCCCCAGGTCACAACCACCTCCTTCCCCCACCTCTCTCCCAGACCCCACACCTCTGTCTGCATCCCAGTCTCTTACCCTATGCTCCCTTCTGCACCCAATCTCCGTCCCAGACCCTGCATCTTCTCCATTAATATCATGGAAGGCTCTTGACCACTTTCCAAATTCTTGGAGTGGCCCCTCATAAAAAATTATTGCCCATCCCTTGCATCGTGTCAATGCACAATTGTCAACTACCAACAAATAAATATTGATTTCTCGGTAGGTTAAAATGTGTTTTTTCCTTCAAGTACCTTAACTGCATTAATACATATATCATATAAATTACAAGATTGAATTTACTACAGCAGAAGGTTCTCAAAAGTAGTGAGTTCTATTTCTCTTGTTCATTGGAATGGATTTTATCTAATATCCCCAATGAAATCCGTCAAGCCAATGTAAATAGGAATGCTCAGTACATTTCCACTTGGCATTCCCTATCAGAGTTTTCACTGTTCACTCAGTTTCTCCTTCACTTCTCCCACAATAACCTAGTAGCCATGTAAAATACACAGCAATCTAACCAAGCTTCTCTCACCTCTTGAGGCAGTTCCAGCTTAGACCTGTCATCCAATCCATTGGAGTGCAAGCCCATCAAATAAGGGACAGGGGCATCTAGGAAATGAAGAAGAGAGGCTGGCAGGATGGGAACATATACATGCTGCCACTGGAATGGAAACATTAGTGCTGTGATGGTCTCTGCCACAGTCATCAATCTCTGGTAATCTAAAAGTCAAACAAGAAAGAAAGATGTTTGTGAAAAATGGACTTACACTCAAGCCAATAAATTGATGGGATACTACAGAAATGACTTCGGAGTCAAATAGATTATACATAACTCACAGCAGAATGAATGATCCAGTATTCTACAATTGATTAACAACATAGTAAAAGCATCCTGTTTCGTTAGTAACTTAGATTGGTTAATAAATCACAGTGATTTAATAGCATATTAGGCACAGAGCCACAGGAAACACATTTAGGAGCTGCAAGTAGCTCATGAACCTCAGTCGGCGAATCACTAAACTATATAATCTCTTATGCTTGTGATGTCCAACACACTAGCCACATATGGCTAACTGACCGGTTGAGGGTGGCTAGTTGGCTTGAACAATGTGGCTATTTGGCCAGTTGAGTTGGCTAGTTCACTTCAGAACTGGTTGGACATCATGGTCTTGTGCCAGTGTAGTTTCTTCTGCACCTCAGTGTAGGCTGCAGATACAAGTTTAACAGTTGAATACAAGAGGACTTAAAACAAAGAAGCTGGTCACACAAAGTTATACGGTAATGGGAAAAGTGTGTCCTGGAATCAGAGATGTAATAGTATATTCAATTAACCAATAAGCAAAAGCTTATAGGTTAATGCAATAGACTGCACACATGTCCTCCTGCCCTCTCCCCTGCCAGTAAATTTTTAGCAGGCTGGCCAGAAGCCCGACTCAGAAGACCTGCCCTTGCGCTAGGTCTGGGACCTACTCCTGCTATGGCTCTGCATTTAAAGTGTATTAGGAGCCAGGCAGGCAGAGTGGCTCAGTTCCAGCTTGTGCCAGTTCACATCAACCTCTGGACAGGACTGCAGCCACTCCACGCTGCTGCCACTGTATCAGAGGCAACAGCACTGGGCAACAGGCAGCCAGTCCGCGACGGGAGCTTGTTTGTAAACTAACTCTCCTCACGGACTAGCTCTCACTTGGTGCCTGGCATTGCTGCCGGCTCCATGCCCGGGAACTACAGAATAGTCGACTAACAGATAAGAATTCATGAGGTTAATCAACTATTCAGTTGACTTGTATTTAACATCCTTATCTGGCATTCTTCTTAGTCACCCTCTACCACTGAAACCAGGGTGACAGGGCACCATTTGCAGCACTGACAGTTTTATTGTGGAATAAGATAGAAGAATTTCCAATAGAATTCCCACTTGCTAAGGGTCTATCACCTCACTATAGTCACTAGCACCAGAATCAAACCCAATGTACCTGGTATCTCAAACAAATTTGGTTTTCTAATGTGTTTATTAAAACTGCTGCAATCCATTTTGCATAGCAACAAGCACGACAGAGATGTTCAACAAATAATTGGGTAAGAAATCAGGAACAACTTCATTTGAATTTGCAACCAATTATTATATAGCTCTAGTTTTTGCCAGAAGTTTAAAGTTTAATGTTAAAGCTCGAGAGATTTTTTTAAAAGAACTTAAATCATATATACTGCTGTCTACAACTATTCCAAAAGGATTTTTTACTAGACAGTTATTAAGCATTCATACTACAAATTTGTGCCACAGCAAATACTTTTTACAGTGCTCTTACACAATCCATAGATATTAGCAATGAAAGAATCTCAAAGGGTCCAGTGGTTCAATGCAGATAAGCACCTGAAAGTCAGATGGTTTAGCTGACCTGTCTAAACCTCTTGCTCTATAAACTGCGATGGCAAAGATTGCATGGACAAGCTTTCAAGCCTTAAACAAATTCCCACTTCCAGTCAAAAGCTAAAAATATATGAATAGTTTTCCTCAAGGCACCTCAGCCAGAAGCTAGTTTTACCTAGAAGCTGCTTTTTTTTTTTTTAAATGGATGAAGAGGAAAAAATAGTTATCTCCCTCCAAAACTCAAAAGAGTTTTGTTTTTTTTCCTCTTCTCAGCCTGCTTACAAAATCTAGTAAATATATATTTTGAAATGCATCTGAATACACAGCCTATCGTTATAGTTTTAAAATGTGCTACACTGCATGTCAAGTCTGTTAAGAGAGGAATTAGCAAAACGAGAGAGAGAGTAAGGATCTTTTTTAAGGACTCTGACGTATCCATAAATTCAAAGTTACGGCTGCAATTCCATCCTTCTTAGCCCTACACAATGGCCAGACAGCAGAATATAAATGCTACTTAAAGACCAGTGTGATTTCCAATCAAAACTAGATATGAGTAGTCCTGTGGCACCTTAGAGACCAACAAAAATATATAATACCACGAGCTCTCATGGTCAAAGCCCAATTCATCCACTATAAAACTAGTTATGTATATGAAAGAAAGTTGATGATTTAATTATGAATTCTATAGTTCCAAAGGGAAACATAACCCATTGTTTTACTACCTTAGATCCTAATACAGCAACTTACCCCTGAGTAGTGGAATCTGTCTGTCTGCCTGCACGCACAAAGTTACTTGCAGATCCTTACCTTAATCAAAGCCTGACAGCAAAGGAAAGTGACAAAAGTAGTGACAAAAATGGGAAGGGAGAGAAATTGGAGGGGGGGGGGCAGACTCCTTTATTCTGCATTTAATGTTTTTCATTTTAAAGGAAATTTTTAAAAAGCAGCCATGCAGATAAATACTGAATAGTCCAGCGGTTGTAAAGAGGAAATGTTCATCTGAAAGAACAAGTCTCAACTTAAAAACATTAATTTCCTAATATGAAAAATAATGAGTCTATAAAAAAGTCCTGCTGGTTAATTAAATGGGGTTCCTATCTATTACAGAAGGTTTCAAATTTGTATTATCCTTCCCAATTATTCTAATTTTGGAGAGACACCAGAATCTCCATAGTTAACATTTTTATTACCTAGCAGCCACATATCGCAGGAGGCAGTCATCTTTCATCCTGGAAAGTCAAGCTATTCCTAGCTACTTAACTGTGGTACAGTTCTTAAAGTAATTGAAGCCACATGCTCTCGGCTTTATTAAATTGTACTGGCTGTGTAATTTAACATTGTTCTGCAACCCTAATAACACCTTTTTCACACTTTCCAAAAATGTATGTTTTTCAAACAATTGAATTTCACCTTAAAGTCAGGAAATAAATCTTCAATGACTTCACTGGAGCTTGCACACACTCATGAAAGGCTGAATTTGGTGTAACTTGTTTAACAAATGCAATATTTATGTGCATTTCTTTCCATCCTGTAAATAACTGATCCTTTTTCACACATCTTAAATATTTTTTGTCTGGAAACGGATACATTATTCCTGTAACAGTAATCCACACAGAGCTGCCAAAGAACAGAAACTCCAGTCTACGTCTGTTCCATACTATTTTTACATCGCTCCCTTTTGATCTCTGAATTTAATTAAGAGGATGTTTAAATCAGCCCTGCTAGTACATCTTCCACACTTCATTCTGCTTTCCCATAGCCTGACAGACAGAAAATATATTGCGGAGAAGCCCTAACCTGAAAGTATTACTTTTGTATTGTTTTTACTTAATTTACTGTTTAGTGGACTAACATATTTGTAGGTCTTGCATGTAACCAAATACCCATTTACCTGTTAATTAATACTGTTTATAAATTATGCCAAAAGAAGGATGAACAGGAAGAGATTAAGCCAGATTAACGTTGGTCTAAAAATGGAGTCGGGGGAGGAAATCTCTGAAATATTCGTCATTAAATGTGTAGTGATTCATGAATATGTATGTGGTACTCTTTCTTCTGCATAAGTGGCATGCTGCTTATTAATTCACCCAACCAGATACATTAAAAATAACATTTGTGGGGAAGGGAAGTATTTGACATTTGCAGGACTTTCCACCACCTTTTCCATTTTCTAATAAAAAGTTTCCACACACTAAGAGAAGTAAATTCATGATAACCAAACTGAATACCAACCAAGCTCACAGTACCAAACAAACAATTCTGGAATCTTCTCTAAGGCCTTGCTACACTCAAACTTTTTTGAGGAGAGGAGAGGGGGTGTTTTGTTGGTTGCACACCAGTGCGACACACCCCTAGCATCGATGCACTGCACCGAATTAAAAAAAGGAGAAAGACGTGATTGGCACTGATGTAGCTTGTTCTTACTTCAAAACTTTGTTAAATTGTGCTGGCACACCTCAATCATTATGCCAGTGAAACACATTTACACTGGGGAGCTTCACTACTTCAGCAACAATGACTGAAAAAACACTCAACATAAAGCAACATTCCCAAATTTTTGAAAAAGCGTACCCCTTCTTGAGATAAATGAAATCATTACCCTCTCCATCCTACAACCTCCTCATGTGGTGTTAAAGATTTGACCATGGTTTAAGAACTATATTTTTAAATGCATCCTTAGCTTCCTATAACTTGACATTTCCTTTCCTTTCTTACAAACATAAATGAGCACTGAAATAATTAGTGGTGACATTAAAATGCAACTAGCATTTAAGTTAACATTCATGGACACAGAAGAGGCAGACCTCAGATCTATTGTTTCAGGGTCTCAACAAACACCTTTGCATCAGCTATCCATTTTCGTCTTATAAACAACCACAACAATTAGAGACCTTAAAAAAGACTGAAGAACAACTAAGAAATCTGTCCACAGCCTCAGCAAGCCCATCATGCTTCCTGTCAGTAGAACATAGCCCATACTTTGGAAAATGCTGCCGAGAGTAACATTTCTTTGGGAAATACTGGTGTACGGTGTATATGTGACTAGATATTTTACTCACTGATGTGCAGTGACAAAAAACAAACTTCCTTTTCTTTACTGATATAGATGCTTGTAAGTGGAACTACAACTCCTCCCCAAACCACAGAACTTGATCTCCCAAGACAAACCATGGCTCTACATGACATTCCATCATCAGTGTATCAGAAGTACCCCTAACGCAAGCCAAATTATCTGTACTCTCCAAGAGACTGACTTCTGTCCCTCCACAGATCATGTCATCATACTAAAATGGGGAGAACTAGAAGAATTCTGCTTCAAAAGGTTATTTCACAATCATGACAATGCCATCCA